ATAAATTGCTTATTGATGTCCAGCAGGATTTAACTAAGTGGGCGGCCCTCCCCCTCTCTCTAATAGGCAAGGTAAATACAATCAAGATGTCAGTACTCCCTAAATTTATTTACCTCTTTCAGTGTCTCCCTGTTTTCATTCCGGGGGCTTATTTTAAAAAGCTAGATTCAGCCATTTTGACTTATATCTGGAATGGTAAAAAACCTCGTCTAAAAAGAGCCCACCTGCAAAAGTCAAAGCAAGATGGGGGTCTGGCTCTTCCTAATATTCGACACTACTATTGGGCAAGTAATTTGTATTGTATGTCCTTTTGGGTGTATTATAGTTCCAAAGATGGGGGTCCCATTTGGGTGGAGATGGAAAAGTCCCTCTGCTCCCCTTTATCTCTGCCAACTTTGATCGGCGGATCCTTACCCTTACCTCTAAATCGTATCTCTTCTAACCGTGTAGTCTATAACTCCCTCAAAATTTACTCACAATTTAGGAAACATTTTGGCCTTCATCAGTTAAGTTTTTCTAGTCCAATTGCGTTTAATAATCTTTTTCCTCCTTCACTGCAGGATGCTACTTTTAGTGGGTGGCGAAGTAAAGGTTTAAAAAATTTTAAAGATCTTTTTGTTGAAAACAAGTTTGCCTCTTTTCTGCAACTGTCTAATAAATATGATTTGCCAACCTCGCACTTTTTCAGATATTTACAGATTAGGCATTTTATTGCCTCATCCACTCCAAAATTTCCTGACAAACCTCTTGATAATGTAATCGATGAGCTGATGTCTTTTGATCCAACAAAAACTAAAGCAGTTACTTCTTTGATAAAGCTGATCTCTCATTTAGATTCCCAATCCTCTGTCATAATTAAACAATCCTGGGAGCAGGACCTTCAAATTACGAGTGAAGCAGTTTGGGCTGATGTTTTGAGGAAAATTCACTCATCTTCAATGTGTGCGAGGCACTCTCTTATTCAGTTCAAAGTGGTACACCGGGCACATTTGGATAAATCTAAACTGGCTAAAATTTACCCTCAAATTGACCCTATATGTGACAGATGTAGGTCGGAGGAAGCCACATTAGTGCATATGTTTTGGAGTTGCCCCAAGATACAGATATACTGGGCTGGTATCTGTGAAGCACTCTCAGCTGTTTTAGCAGTCCATATTACCCCAAACCCATTTATGCTGATATTTGGGATTACTCCTGAAGGATTAAGTTTACCTACGGGAGGAGGGAAGGTAATCGCTTTTTCAACTCTTCTGGCGCGTCGTTTAATTCTTCTTAGGTGGAAAGATGCTGCTCCACCCACAGTGTCAAGCTGGATAAAGGAGGTACTAATTAATCTAAAACTAGAGAAAATCAGGTGTGTGATGAAGGGCTCTGAAAATAGATTTTATAAAACTTGGAAATCTTTTATTACTTTTTTCAATGAACCCTCGACACAGGTCCAGGAATAACACGCTCTTAGGATTTTGGCTGAACGTAGACCCATAAATCTTGATAATGATGTTTGAACTGTTTTAATTGTTTTTGTGACATACCTTGTAGGGGACAGTATTTACTGGGGGGAGGGGTGCTGGGAGGGGGGAGGGGTTCTTTGGGTTTTTTTTTTTTTTTTCCTTGTATGTATGTTGTTTTTATTTGTTTCTATGTGGAAAATTAATAAATATATTAAACACTGAAAAATCTCTGTATGTGAAACGTCCATTTTTGTCAATAATATACATTTCTTATTGACTGCTGGGATAATCTCCTGCCCTCCAGCTTCCTGACAAGGATGACGTGAAGCAGAAAATTAATCAAATTAATGAATTAAAATGACCCATCACTGAAAATATTTAAATGGATTAATGTCCCTTTACTTCAAATTGTTCACATAAATGAGAAAAGACATCTGTAAGAAACATCTGTATTTTTTGTACATGACGTTGCATTTGGGTGACAGACATCTTTTCTAGATAGTTTATGCAGCAAGACTCAGAAGTTGTTCACAGTTTTTATAAATAACTGTAAGAGTTTACAGTGGCTAATAATAGGTCATTCGGTCTCAGTGTAGATATTATCACATAGATTACAATGTCATATTTACACGTTAGTGGATTACAGCTTGTCATGTTGAAAAAAATCTCATTCTTAGTTTCTCCAGCTTCCAACAACACGTGGACTACACATTATGATGATTCAAAATGAGACTTTGTTTACTGTGAAATCCAGTGGAGAAAGCACAACAAAAATGAAAAATACAACATAAAACATGTAAAAATCTTTGAAAACTTTGTTTACAAAATAAAAGCTTTTAAAAAGATAAAGCTGAAAAACCTTTCGTTTTAAAAAATGTGCTTTTGCCACAAAAACAATTACAGATATCAGCAAGGCCTCAAGATGATTCTCAGCAACACATTTTTCTCAAACATGTTTAGAGGTTTCTCCTTTTATGAAACTATATCACAATGAAATAAACTGATTTAATGAACTATGGTCCGTCCATAAAAAAGAAAGAAATGAGTTCATGCACTCTGTGTTTGTGTGGATTAAAGGCACCGGCCTTTACTTTCTTATCAAACATCAGTGTGTTGTAAACGGATGGTGCACGAACAGTTTCCCTTATTGACAAGTGTCACAGAAAAACAAGAGAGAGTCAAATAATGAAGGGAATGGCTCTACAGGTGGTTCCTTTACCCTGTGAGTGCATCTCAAGGAGGCAAGAAGTTTAAATACACTGAGGCCACTGAAGTTCTACATGTTCCTGGGACACCTGAAATCCAAGAACTGAAGTTCTGGGAAGGAATTTTCCCTGGAAGCAAATTCACAAAGTTTCTATTGTGAGTCTATCAGCATGTGCCATAAAAGTACACACAACAACAAACAGCTCAGAGTTTCTACAAGCACCACACAACCAGGCTTGTGAGCAGCTAGTCTTTCATTGTGAGATGTAGACAATGTCACTGCATAAATAAATAAAACTATAAATCATGGACAGCATGAAGACAGACTAGTCCAAAAGGTGAAACCACAAGAAATGCAGTTTGGTTTTCAGCTGGATGAGAAAAAGATGAAGTGGGTATAAAAGTGTCAAGATCCTTTAAAAAAAACAACTGAAGTTTGTGACGCTTTAAAAAAAGATGATAATTATTTCGAAACATTTCCCACTTTCTTCTTCTCTTGGCTGCCCCCTTTGTCACCACGACGGTGAACTAACTCTCATGAAGACTTAGCATTTGTTTTGACACCGGACGTCCTTCCTGACCAAACACACACCACTGGGCTCCACAGCCCTCTGAGTGGAGCGGAGAGCTGCCGACTGGGGCGCCCAGGTGAGAAGATGGTGGGGGTTAAGGTCCTTGCTCAGGAACCCAGCAGGGTGAGGGTGGCGGCAGGTGTGGGTGTTTCACTTTTCCCACACACATTTTGATGTTCTGGGGAGTTGAACCGGCGACCTTACGATCACAGGCCCACCTTCTCTAACCTTTGCACCACCACTCCCCTGGCCAAAACATTTCCCACTTTAAATGCGACAAACTGGAGATCTTGTATTGATCAAGTGAACAACAAACTTCTTTGTTTGAGGAATAAAAAGCTGCTTGTACGTGCGCACGTCTTTAAGTCAGTCTGTTGGAGCACCCTCTGACTGAATTACACCTTCCACCAGGTAAAGTGACTGTTATTGTGCTGCAGTGAGCTCACCAAGCATAAAAAGGACGTCTCTGTTGAAAGGTCGACGTCCAAAAAGGATACAAAAAATGTTTTTCAGCACTTTTGTGCTCTGGAACAGTAAAAAGTCACGGAGAAGCAGAGCTCCTGTGGATCAACAAGAACTGGACATGTCTTGAAAACTGATGAAAACACAAGAGCTAAGCTGTCCGGATGCTGAGAGACCTACAGCAACATTGAAGGACAAGTACTAGTTGTGTACTCCATGTGACAGTAATCTCCTGTAATCTGGACTGTTAATTCATATTGGATAAATTATAAAATGTTCCAACTGTTTTGTTGTGAGCTGAAATCTTAGCCTGTCAAGAACATGTGTGAGTTCATTTGAAGACATGAAGACTCCCTGCAGTCTGATAAGTGAACAATGAAAGCCGTCATTAAATTAAAGAATTAGTTTAAAGGTGTGTACACTTATGCTACCTTCTGTGTTTTATTTTTCCTTTTCCTCTAGAGGATTTGTTTGTTTTTCAGATGAAGTGAACAAGATATACGTATGTCCACTGAAGTTGGGAAAAGTTCGGAAACGATTGATGAAATGATGGTTGTGTCTACAGTTCGACAGTGTAAAAGGTGTAAGGACTTTTATATCCTGTAAGGAACATACAGTAGTAAGGAAGCAACGAACCAGGACAAATACAGATGGACAACAAAAAAGCTGTTGGAACTGATGATTGTGTGAAATGAAATATTTAAGAAAACAGCAAACACTAAAGTCTGTAGTTATGACTTGAATGAAAAGATTTTTCTTCAATAAGACTGAGATGTATTTGTCAAGACGTACTGTAACTTTTTTTAAAATAACAGTCAACAGTCTTTAGTGCACTTATGCAAGAATTCAGCTGTATAGTTTGGTTTCTTGAAGACGACACATTGACAATGTTAATGTCTTTCAGTGGTGGGGGGAGATGAGCTTCTAAATTTGATGATTTTGTTTTGTCTTTAAAAGTTCAATCAAAGAAAAATTCTCTTTTTTAGATGAAAACTACTCAGTTTTGTCTGCTTCAACCACATGAAATGTAAGAGGAGTTGCATGCGTGCAGAACAGAAAGAAGACGTGTGGACATGTAAAGAGAAGCCCAACAGCTTTGTTGTTTTCAGATTCACCATCTGTCTGAACAATGCAGTGTCCTCCACCCTTCCCTGTGCAGCATGAAGAGAAATGGAAGCATGAAAGATTTTCAGTCAGATCTTCATCTTTATCATCTTTGTTGCTGTTGACAGCAGCAGTCCTAGAGCAACAGGAGGAAGCAGTGTTCAGCAGCTGCTCTGGGGAGGTTGTGCGTGGATCAGTCTTCTTGTCACCGGTGTTTGCTCTGAGCCATGAACAGCAGCACCTTGCGGATTCCACTGAGGCGATCTTTCAGGGAAGTGAGGGCGAGGAATGGTAGCTGGGCTCGACCCTCCAGAGGAAGAACGGCAAGTAACCACCAGCACCATGAGGGACCATTGGGACTGGCCTGTAAAACACAGAAACAACCCATCACTCAGGAGACAATGATTCTGACTGTGGCCCAACAGGCTTACTGTGACTGAGCCAGCTCTGACTCAAAACAACTGAAAACAGAGTGCGTTGCCTTAAAGCTCAGCTCTCTTCACCACAATGGACCAGTACAGAGTCCGCAGTGCTGCAGATGCTGCACCAATACGTCTGTCAATTTCACGCTCCATTCTTCCCTCACTCGTGAACAAAACCCTGAGATACTTGAACTCCTCCACTTGAGGCAGAACCTCACCCTCAACCTGAAGAGAGCAATCCACCCTTTTCTGGTTGAGGACCATGGCCTCAGATTTGGAGGTGCTGATTCTCATCCCAGCTTCTTCACACTCTGCTGTGAACCACTCCAGCAAGAGCTGAAGGTCACGGCATGATGAACAACAGGACCACATCTGCAAAGAGGAGAGATTGAATCCTGAGTCCACCGAATCAGAAACCCTCTGCCCGCTGGTTGCACCAAGAAATTCTGTCCATAAAAGTTATGAACAGAATCGGTGACAACGAGAAGCCCTGGTGGAGTCCAACGTCCACCCTGAAGGAGTCCGAAATACTACCGGCAACGCAAACCAAACTCTCGCACTGAATGTATAGGGACTGAACAGCCCGTAACAACAGACCCCCAATCCCATACTCACGGAGCACCCCCCACAGTGTACCCCCAGGAATACTGTCAAATGCCTTCTCCAAGTTCACAAAACACGTAGACTGGATGGGCAAACTCCCATGACCCCTCGAGGACCCTAGTGAGGATAAAAAGCTGATCTAGTGTTCCATCGACAGCACGGAACCCACATAGTTCCTCTTGGATCTGAGGTTCGACCAACGATCGGACTTGCTTCTCCAGTACCCCTGAATAGACCTTACCAGGGAGGCTAAGGAGAGTGATGCCCCATAATTGGAGCACAGGGTGAATCTCATCCACTCCCAGAGCCCTGCCGCCTCAGAGCTTTTTAACTACCTCGGTGACCTCAGCTGCAGCTATGGACGGATCAACCCCAAAGTCCCCTGACTCAGTTTCCTCCATAGAAGACGTGCTGGTGGGATTGAGAATGTCCGAGAAGTATTCCTTCCATCTCTCGACAATGTCACTGGTTGAGGTCAACAGCATCCCTCCTTCACTGAACACAGTGTTAATAAAGTGCTGCTTTGAGTCTAACTTCATCGAAGACTCTCATCTTCAGCAAGCATGAAGGCAACAGTAGGAAGGAAAAACTCTGTCATGAGGAAATTGGAAAACAAACTAAAAAAAATACATAAATACATTTGTGTCTGTGTACCTGAAGTTCAGAGTCCTTCTCAGGCATAGGTCCAAAATGTCCTTCAATGCGTTGTCTCTGCTCAACCTTCAGAGAATTGACCCAAACCAGAGCCTGCTCATACACAGCATCATGGAGAGACTGCAACTCACACTCTGCATCTCCATCCACCTGTACACACATAGACATTTGAACATCTTATGATCTTACTATCTAGAGCCAGACATATCTCTCCGTTTTATCACAGCCCTACCACCAGCGTACCTTCACATCCTCCACGTACTCTATATCAGCTGTGTTGTACCCATCCCTCTCACGGTGCTGAATGACCTTAAACCTTCTTCCACCAATTGTGTCCACTACTGAACGGCCATCGGAAAAAAATCTGACATCACGGATCTCCAACAGACACCCATAGTCTGCAAATCTGGAGGCAGAAGAACGATCAAATTATATCTTTTTCTTTGTTACATCAATTAAAATAAAACATGTAACTATGTAGATGCGTTGCGGTCATACTAACCCTTTGAGACAGTCTTCTAGACACATGCCAAAGCAATTGGTTCCTGTCTCCATGCACCTGCGAATCATCAGTCTGTAGCAGGGCTCGAAGATATGGAGAGGACAGGGCACAGTGGGGAAGGCCATGGTGCACACAAATATAGGCACGTTCTTGTTAAGACTGCATAGAACATGAATAAAAGATTCTCAGTTTTACTTTAAGACACCCTCTAAAGGAATGTTCTTTAAAAACATTAACACCCTTATCAACTCTGCTTCAACTGCAACTAACTCTGAGGTTCAACATAAAAAATTCACACCATGTCTTCATCAGTTTAAGAACTTTTATTTACTGGAAACAGGTGTGTGTCAGCCTGAAGGAACAGTGATGCCTGACATAATGGAATCTAGGGGTGGGCGATATGGCTCAAATACAATATTGTGATATTTCAGAGCATTCTGACAATAACGATAAATTTTGTGATATAACAAAAAACAAACAAAAAAACAAAAATCATAGTTATTCATTTGACAAAATTAACTTAACATTTTGTTCTGCAGTATTATATAAAACTAGCAAAAAACAGTGCAGCCTTGGCTGTTGCTGAGGCAAAGCACGGATGTGGGAGGAGTTCGGTGAGACCTTGGATAGAGACTCTCGGTCAGCTTCGAGGAGATTCTGGCAAACCATCATGCGGCTGAGGAGAGGAAAGCAGCTCTTTACTAACACTGTGTTCAGTGAAGGTGGGGTGCTGTTGACCTCAACCAGTGATGTCATCGGGAGGTGGAAGGAATACTTCTCTGACCTTCTCAATCTCACCAGCACATCTTCCATGGAGGAAGTTGAGACAGGGGACTTTGGAGTTGATCCGTCCATAACCGTGGCTGAGGTTGCCGAGGGACTTAAAAAGTTCAGAGGTGGCAGGGCTCCGGGAGTGGATGAGATTCACCCTGATTTCCTTATGGCTCTGGATGTTGTGGGGCTGTCTTGGCTGACATGCCTTTGAAACGTCGCGTGGACATCGGGGGCAGTGCCACTGGACTGGCAGACTGGGGTGGTGGTTCCCCTCTTCAAAAAGGGGGACCGGAGGGTGTGCTCCAATTATAGGGGCATCACTCTCCTTAGCCTCCCTGGTAAGGTCTATTCAGGGGTACTGGAGAAGCGAGTCCGATCGTTGGAGGAACAATGTAGGTTCCGTGCTGGCCGTAGAACACTGGATCAGCTCTTTAGCCTCACTAGGGTCCTTGAGGGGTCATGGGAGTTTGCCCATCCAGTCTACATGTGCTTTCTGGACTTGGAGAAGGCATTCGACCGTGTTCCTTGGGTACACTGTGGGGGGTGCTCCGCGAATATGGGATTGGGGGCCCTTTGTTACGGGCTGTTCAGTCTCTATACAAGCGGTGCGAGAGTTCGGTTCGCATTGCTGGCAGTAAGTCGTACCCCTTGAGGGTGGGAGTTGGGCTCCACCAGGGCTGCCCGTTGTCACAGATTCTGTTCATAACTTTTATGGACAGAATTTCTCGGTGCAGCCAGCTGGCAGAGGGTTTCCGGTTTGGTGGCCTCAGGATTCCATCTCTGCTTATTGCAGATGATGTAGTCCTATTGGCGTCATCGTGCCATGATCTTCAGCTCTCACTGGAGCAATTCCCAGCAGAGTGTGAAGCGGCTGGGATGAGAATCAGCACCTCCAAATCTGAGGCCATGGTCTTCAACCGGAAAAGGGTGGATTGCTCTCTTCAGGTCGAGGGTGAGGTTCTGCCTCAAGTGGAGGAGTTCAAGTATCTCAGGGTTTTGTTCACGAGTGAGGAAAGAATAGAGCGTGAGATTGACAGACGTATTGGTGCAGCATCTGCAGCACTGCGGACTCTGTACCAGTCTGTTGTGGGGAAGAGAGAGCTGAGCTGTAAGGCAAAGCTTTTTGTTTACCGCTTGGTCTACGTTCCTACCCTCACCTATAGTCATGAGCTCTGGGTAGTGACCGAAAGAATGAGATTGTGGATACAGGTGGTTGAAATGAGTTTTCTCCGCAGGGTAGCTGGACTCTCCCTTAGAGATAGGGTGAGAAGTTCAGTTATTCGGGACAGACTCGGAGTAGAACTGCTACTCCTCCACATTGAGAGGAGCCAATTGAGGTGGTCCGGGCATCTGGTAAGGATTCATTCTGCCCCCTGGGCGCCTCCCTAGAGAGGTGCTTTGGGCATGTCCAACAGGGAGGAGACCCCGGGGAAAACCCAGGACACGCTGGAGAGACTATGTCTCTCATTTGGCCTGGGAACACCTTGGAATCCTCCCAGAAGAGCTGGAAGAGGTGGCTGTGGAAAGAGATGTCTGGGCCTCCCTGCTCAAGCTGCTGCCCCACGCAACCCGACTTCGGAATAAGCGGAAGATAATGGATGGATGGATGGATAAAAAAACAAGGGTTAATTTTACTGAAATTACTTTATTTAGTAAAGTATTCCATCTCAAAGTATAAAAATAAAAAATAAAAATGATTCTTCTGTTATTTAGATTGAAAAAGTCTGCACAAAATATAGATCACCAAAATCTACCACAAAAACTAAAGTGCAGGTGCAGTTTCCCCAAAATAACTAATAAAATGAAGCTTAAGATCTGTTGAGCATAAATGTAATGTACAAAATATATGTTGCCTTTAAATGAGCTATAACTTCCAAAACTCGTGACAATGTGATCAGCTGACCCTGAAGCCTGTGCTGTTTCAGCTTCCTCACAGGAATGATTCCATTTCTCTGACTGCTCTGATTTGATTCTCTGCCTCTTGGTCCATGGACTGTGGAACTCAAGAGACAGACCTGCGCGTGTTTGTACTGGCAGTTTAGAGCCGGGGGGACCCAGCCGAACTGCGCCTGCACCGGCAGCCCAGAGCGAGGTGGGGAGAGAGAAAAATGCTGAGCTGCGCTGGTGGGGGGAGGGAGAGACAGTTGAGCTGTCACTGTCTGTACCTGCAGTTTAGAGCTGCATGGAGAAACTCAGCCAAGCTGTGCGTTGTTTGTTTTTAGCATTTTTGCTAGCTAGTATTGTGCACAGCTAATTAGAGTTATGCCAGTACAGACAGGTGGATTGGGGGGGGGGGGGGGCAGTTCAGTTCGGTAGTTTGGCATGCTCGGTTCTGTTAACGGGGCAGGGCAAACACCGACGTAATTACGTCATGAAATTAGCATATCATGATATCTTTATTTTCCCGGGCAAGCTTTTTTGACTGGTATTATCGTAAACGATATGATATGGCCCAGCCCAGCCCTAATGGAATCTAAAGGTTCCACATAGTCGGGCGGACCTCAGTCGGCGGAGGTATGCACGTACCAGATTAGACTCGAAGCAGGCACCTGCAGGGCATGTCCTTGCAAAGATTAATTTTCACGACCGTGTATGCGTACTTGGTGTTGCGCAATAAACTGCCCGGCGACTGACTGTTTTGTATGCGACACCAATGTATTAAATTCCCCTTCTTCATCCCTGGTCTGGTTTAATGGCCTTTTCTTTTCTTTTGTTTTTTCCAAGAGGCAAGCGATCTCTTCCTCCTTGTCCTTAACATGTGTTTTTTTGTCTTTCAGATACACCTGGACTTATACCTGGACCTACCATTCTGTGTTCGTCTGTCTCTCCTTCCTGTCCTCTCAACCAGCCGGTCAAAGCAGATGGCCGCTTGTCCTGAGCCTGGTTCTGCTTGAGGTTTCTTCCTTTTAAAAGGGAGTTTTTCCTTTCCACTGTTGCCACTGTGCTTGCTCAGGATGGGAGACTGCATCGAAGCCAAGATTCATCTTGTCTGCTGGATTCCTTAGATAGAGAACTACTAATTGGCTTTTATGTATGTGAATGTTTCTGTAAAGTGCCCTGAGACAACTTTGTTGTGATTTGGTGCTATATAAATAAACTGAATTGAATTGTCCATTGATGCCATGACTGAAATTGTGAGAAATGAAGGAATTTGTCATGAGAGAATTAAAATCAGGCCCTGTGTGGCTGCGGGAGGGTCTGAAGATTTCCTGATGAGCTGGTCTGATGTGTGGGCTGCAGGGTCAGCACTCCGTTTGTTTTATTTCTTAGAACTTTTCATTAACAACATATAAACACAGACCACCACTGCTGCTGGGCTACCAGCTCTCATTTTTTGTGTTTGTTTTTTTGCAACCTGTCAATCAATCCAGTAGGCGTGTCAGCAAATTGGCAAACTCAATTTGTCCCAAAGGTAAATGCCCCTTGCCTGCGGAGCCGGGCTTCAGCCGGTCAGGGTGTACGCTCGACATCTGCGGACAGTGCGCACAGTTTCCGCAGGGACTGAGGTCTGCCCAAGTCTGTGGGAGCCTTAAAAGGTCAGAGAGTCAGTAAAGTAGGTCAGCAGGTAAAATTAGACAAAGATATTTATAGAGTTTATCCAAACTTCAGCACCTCAGACTTAGGAAGTCTCTTGGATGAGAGACGAAACGTTTCTATATTTTTTTGCTTTGTTTTATTTTATTTTATTTTTTTTTGAATGTCCAGAGGACCAGATTGAACTTTTTTGGATTTTTCTACCTGGATTATTGAGCATACATCAGGATATTATAGAGTTTATGTTTGACACAAGACACAGCAGACAGAATCGTAACTGCAGATAATGTTTCTTTTTTTGTGTGTGCGTGGTCGTTCAGATTATAATTTAAATGCAACCTCCATCAGATTCAAGTGCTAACAATCTATGGTCCTGAAGTGTCCCACAAATGCAGAAAAAAGATGGGGTAAGGTAGGGCAGCCAACTTTGACCCAGAAAGTTGCAGGTTCAACTCCCTGCCACATGCTGTGGTGTCCTTGAGCAATACACCTAACCCCCAATTGCTTCCCAGGCACTTACATAGCTGCCCACTGCTCCACCTGGGTGTATCTCAGGTGTGAAGGGCTAAATGCAGAACTAATTTCACCATTGTGTGAAAACATACAGTGATGACAACACATACCGGGGTGGTACTTTTGTTCTATATATGGAAAAAGACACGATGTCACACACAGTACACTGTTTATGGAAATAAATATGAATGCTACATGTTAGCACATGTGTATTGATTCTGAAGTTGTTATGCAATCAGAATCGATTGAATTATTATCGTCCAAGCTTGTTTAGTCCTGTTTATATTTGATCTTGCCGCTTCCTGTCTACTCAGGTGCAGGAACTGCACTTCTGGAACAGGAGTGACTAAGAAGAGGACAGAAACCAACTCAAGTATCCATTCCATCACGTTAGTATCTATATGATCCCACACAAACATTGATATCATGTGTTGGTGTAGATTCTCAGTCATCCGGGACATGGCAAATCTAGAAAGTTAAAAAAAAGCAACTGGACTTCTGTTCTGTAGCTTTAAGACATTTTGGTTAAATGAGGGCACAGATTGTGTTGTAAAGCGTTTTGAGTATCTTGATTAGATAGAAAGGTGCTAAATAATGTCTATTTATTATTTACATACAAAGTTCCAAGCACCATTGTGTGGAAGTGACTTTCGTATCATTATATCAGTATTCAGATCAATCCACATACCTCTTTTTTTTAATGACATAAAAGTCAGATGAAATGTAATATGACCATTCAGACTGAGGTCATTTTGAAAAACATCAGATAAGTTCCAGATTCAGTACCATGTATGAAAAAGACCTGGGTCAGATTTGAAAAAAATAATAATTTAAAAAATGGATTGGTCACTAATGTGATGGACTTGCGACCTGTCCAGGGTGTACCCTGCCCCTCGCACAGTGATTGCTGGACATAGGCACTGGTGATCCCCGTGACCCAAAATGGAAGAAGTGGGTAAAAGATAATGGATGGATTGGTCACTATCAGACTGTTTACAAAAAATCTAATCTGAGTCACATATGGGCAAAAAAAAAAAAAAATCAGATTTGGGCCACATTTGCCTGCAGTGTAAACTTATGATGTCAGCTAAACTCACTTGGAAAGTTCAGCCATCTCCTCCAGGTGGACTCTTTGTCTTTCCATGAACTCAGAGGGAAGATACTTCGATATCAGCTTTTTCATTATTTCTGTCTTACAGCACTGCCTCTGAACCAAGTACTGAAGAGAGACACAAAGGGACAATCAATAAATCAAAGAAATATTTTCCTTGGAAGAAATTAAGTCAAGCCTACATTTATTTCTATGACACATTTAAAAAACAAAAATGTTTGAAAGCAGGTAAGGAAAATGTATGAGTGGATGGATGGATTTGCAATTAAATAATCAAGGGATAAAAGGTCAGTGATAAAAAGATGGATTTCAGCATCAGTATAAATTGATCAATGTTCTGTAAGAGAATATCTTGTTGCATGCTCAATAATCCAGGCAGAAAAATCTAAAAAAAAGTTAAGTCTGGTCCTCTGGACGTTCAAAAAACAAAAACAAAAAAAAGTGCAGAAACGTTTCGTCTTTCATCCAAAAGACTTCTTCAGTCAGAGGAGCTGTGCCATTTATGACTGAGCTGAAAACAGCACCTCAGACTGAAGAAGTCTTTCGGATGAGAGACGAAACTTTTCTACACTTTTTTTTGTTTATGTTTTTTGAACGTCCAGAGGACCAGACTTAACTTTTTTTAGATTCTGTAAGAGAACTATTGTTGTAATTGGCACTTTAAACTGGTAAACTGAACTTAACTGAATTGAATTGCTTTATATAAATAATTGCAATATGATACGTTTACATGACTTTCATGGCAGTAAGCAATAATTTAAAGAAAGAGGAGCCTAATATGAAGGCTTGAGGTACCCCACAACATGTTAGATTTGATTTCAGGCATCATGCTTGGACTCAGGGGAAGTGCATCATACCTCAGATAGCTCTTCTTTACAAAGGGGACACTTTGGATTGTGGTCCAGACATCTCTCCAGACACTGAAGACAAAACGTGTGACCACACGGCGTTGTCACCGGCTCGTAGAAAAGTCTGGAGGGGAAACACATGTAAAGGTAATTAATTATTAATTGAGTTAACAGTGAGTTATAACCCTTTCACCCTACCCATGTATATGGGTGAAATAAAGCTCACCTCATACACAGAGAACACTCCAGATCTGTTGGGTCCATGAGGTCAGTTGACACAGAACTCAAAGACTCAGACTCATGTACTGGCTCTGCATGGCAAGGTTGTCAAACAGTGAATGACATAACACAGATCTAAGGACATTATGTGTACGCTCCTGGTGGTATGCTCACCAGACTTTGATTTCTTCTGACGTCCCTTGGTCCCCTGTTCCTCCTCCGTGTTCCTTCGTTTCCGTTTCAGGAGAAGACAGTCATGAATCTTCATGGTTTCAGAGATTTCTTGACTCCTCTTTGACACCTCAGGTACAGATAGAGGAGATTCTGAAGACCAAAAGCCAGGACTGAGGGTCTGAGGGACACACACAGGTGCAAGACAGGGTTAACAGTTTAGTGGAAAGAACAAAACAAGCTGCGAGCCCCCTGTGCTACGGGCCGTACCAACTGTCAGTGTTAGAGCATTTATCACCTGTACTGGGGAAGTGAGGCTGCTTTTGATGTGTGCTCTGGAAGACAGGATGTTGGAATGGTCTGAGATGGGTCCAGGGACCTGATCTGTGACTGGTGCCAGGATCTCACTGAGGAGCTGAGGGAATGAAACAAACAATGAAGGAGGTACTCTTATTATCACAATTGTGTGCAAATGCAAAGACATAAAATATTTGATAAGAAACAAACTAAAAACAACAACAACCTTGTGAGCCTCTGTTTTGGCCAGTCTACAGTCCGGCTCTATGGAGAGGCAGATCAGGTACTCTCTCAGAGCCTCTTCAATCCTTCCAAATGACACCAGGGCCTGAGCCTTACAAACATGACCCTGAAGTCAAAGGGAAAGAAATATCACTTTATGTTCAAACTGCAAGCTAAACAACCAATACTTCATCACTCTGCTTTACCTTGGACCAGAGGGGCATGAGTCTGCAGGCCATTTCTGCATCCATCAGAGCCTTTTCATGGTGCTTCAGACTGGAGTGGATCTGAGACCGGTTACTGAATAGGATGTGGTCAGTGGGTGCTGAAGAAAACCACAGGGAGGACCATTATTAGAATAGATGGGGGGTGTAATTAAGAAGAGTCCAAGCTGCACCTTTAATCTATTTTCAGTTTTCTATCTTCAGTTAGTCACTTTTAAGTGTCAAGATTAAGTTGATTTTGTTTCTTTGGGACCATGTATAACAGCAATACACTCTTTCACACCTAATAGTCCGGTAGACTCGGTTCGGTTCGGGACCAATATTCATGACCTTTTGTTACATTTGAGCTGGTGCGTTTGCATTCACACTGCACTGTGCAGTCGAGCCAACTTGTTGAACCAACCTGTTCCCCAACTCGCCTGTGGGGGCGATGCACCAAGAACTACTGAGAGAAACAACACAAAAACCTCTGAAGACACTTCTTCTTCTTCTGGAAATAAAAACGGAATGGCATCAAGTTGTAGCGGTTTTAGGAGTTATATTTTGTAATTTTTCAACAATGGACTCAGCATGAGCAGAAGATGAGGCAGAAGACCATGGAGAATATTGTTTTTCACACAAGGCAGCTGACGGCTCCATATGAGGTCAGAGAAATGTGTGTTTGTTTGCCCTGCGCTGTACTCCACTTCTTGCTTGTGGAGCGGGGCTCAGTCTGTTTACATTCACACTGTACTCCAACCACACTGGAGTTCTCTTCTACCGGACCCAGACCTAGGTTTTAGCCCGGGCCAGAGTTCGCCTTTTTGTTCCGTGACAGAGTTCGATGGCGTGTTCACACCTCCCTAAACGAACCGGACTTTCTAGGAAAACAAGCTAGAGTTCATGACAACAGCGCTGGTGTGAACGCACCCTAAAGAGGTAGTGTCATTATGTCACATTTAGCCAACAGCTGTTTTTATCCGCAACTCCTGGACAATAACAATAAATATATACAGAATATAAAACAATCAATACCACCAACAGGGAATCAGAGGCTAAAACCACAACAGCAAATAAAAAAATACTAATTACTGCTAACACATACTTAATTCAAGTATTAAAAAAATTAAAACAGTTCTTTAGCTACTAGAACAATGTAGCAACACTTAAAAAACATAATTACGTTGATGAGTCTATCATACAGTATCTTACTGATACGGCTGAGTACCGAACCGAAGTTCTTTTATGGCACCGACCGAACTTAACCAGTTGGTGTATGTATTGAAATGTCTCTCTTCTTTCGGTGTCAAGTTTCGGTATTGGCTGTAACGTGTCACGTGGTTTCAGCATGCAGGCAGGCAAAACACCAGACATATGACAAACAGACTACACCCAGATTACACCCAGAGCTGTATAGAGCTGCCGTACCAAATCTATGTATAATTATGTCTTTGGTGCTGGTGACGCCCACAGACGGGTTCATGTGTGCAGCGAGTGTTGTCGAATGGCTTAGACAACACGCGCTGCAGAAAGTTGTCTGTGTTTTTCTGCGAGGAGAGAGGAGTTCAGCAGCCTCCCCTTCCTCCTCTCAGCATTAGTCAGCCTGTGAGTAGAGCCTGAACGTCCTGAATCATTATCTCCACGACTGGACTCTTCATCAAAGAACTCCGAGGACGGCTCTGTGTGCTTCAGCTGGTGAGTTTATGTTTGTTAGCGTAACTGCAGCTTAACACGTACATCGCGGTGAAATAAATTATGATCCATGTAACGCTAACTTTAAGATATTAGTGTGTAAATTTATTTTATGTATGTAGCTAGCTAAACTCAGAAGCTAACTAAAGATTGACAGTAACATAAATCTTAGCTTGTAAAAATGTGCTCATCCATTGGATCAGCTGCTTAAACAGTTCACTAATGTTCACTGTTCATGTTCATGTTCTCCTCACAGGAGGTTCTGACCCTGATGTGAGGAGGTAAAAAAAAAGTGAGGTCGGGGCCACAGGACAATCAGACTTTGTTGTTAAAAGTTTGCTGCTTTTTCTACAGTGCAACTGCATGTTGGAGGTAAATTAAACTGTAAAGGATTTTCTGATGCATGCTCAATAATCCAGGTAGAAAAATCCAAAAAAGTTCAATCTGGTCCTCTGGACATTCAAAAAACCAAAAAACAAAACAAAGCAAAAAAATCTAGAAACGTTTCGTCTCTCATCCAAGAGACTTCCTCAGTCTGAGGTGCTGTTTTCAGCTCAGTCTCTTAAATAGCACCTTCTCAGAGTGGATCAACCAGTTTGCTGCTGACAACCAAAACCAGCTGATCACATGCTCAAGAAGGACCATCAGCATAACAATGGATCATTAGCACACTGATGGCTGTTTACTACTCACAGAGGGCTGAGTGATACTAGCAATCACAGCATTGTAAGAGGGGGACAGTTGAACCTGGAGGCTCCGCCCCTGTTTAATGATGGACGGTTTCTTTTCACAAAGATGGCCTCCTTTACTCCTCTCTCAAACCATCGTTACTCTCTGTCCAGGATGTGAACATCTTCATCCTTGAAAGAGTGACCGCTGGCCTGGAGATGAGTGTAGACCGCAGAGTCCTGGCCTGATGATGTTGATCTTCTGTGCTGGGCCATCCTTTTGGCCAGTGGCTGTTTAGTTTCCCCGATGTAAGACTGATCACCCTCCTGACACTGAACAGCATACACAACATTACTCTGTTTGTGCCAGGGGACTGGATCTTTGGGATGAACCAGTCTTTGCCGTAATGTATTTTGGGGTTTAAAAGCCACTGGGACGTTATGTTTAGAAAATAAACGTCTCAGTTTCTCTGATACCCCCTCAACATACGGAATGACCACTGGTCTGGGTCTGGGTTCCTCCTTTTCACCTGATGGCTGACTGGAGTCCTGTTTGGGTTTCTTCTCTGCTTTCAGGAAGGCCCAGTTAGGATATCCACATTGCTCTAGAGCCTGTCTTGTGTGGGATTTCTCCTTCTGCCTGGCTCCTGAGCTAGTGGGGACGCTGTCTGCTCTGTGATACAGAGTCCTGATGACTCCTAACTTGTGCTCCAAAGGGTGATGGGAGTCAAACTGCAAATACTGGTCTGTGTGGGTGGGTTTGCGGTACACCTCAGTTTGCAAATGTCCTCTATCAGAGACTGAGACCTCACAGTCCAAGAAAGCCAACCTGCCATTTTTTACATCTTCTCGTGTGAACTTGATGTATTTATCCACAGAGTTGATGTGGTCAGTAAAATGTTGGACTTCCTGAGATTTGATTTTAACCCAGGTGTCGTCAACATACCTGAACCAATGACTTGGTGGTGTCCCTGAAAAGGACGTCAAGGCTCTCTTTTCTACCTCCTCCATGTACAGGTTGGCAACAATAGGAGAAACTGGAGACCCCATAGCACACCCATGTTTCTGCCTATAATATTGCTCCCCATATGTGAAGTAGATTGACTGCAGGCACAGTTTCAAGAGTTGACACAGTTGTTCTGTGGAAAGCGTGGTCCTGCTGCTCAGAGTGGTGTCTGATTTTAATCTTAAACTGACCACCTCTACTGCATCATCAACAGGAATGCAGGTAAAGAGTGATGTGACATCAAAAGAGACCATTGTTCCATCAGTCTCCATGATGACATCCCTCACCTTGTCCACAAAGTCCATGGTGTTCTGTATGTGGTGTTCTGAGCTGCCAACTAAAGGGATGAGTACAGACGCCAGATATTTGGAAACATTGTAAGTGACAGAGTTAATCATGCTAACAATAGGTCTTAAAGGTACACCTTGTTTGTGGATTTTAGGTAAACCATACAGACTAGGTGTGGCCTCCCCTGGGTACAGTCTGTGGTACAGAATACGGTCAATAGCCTTGTCCTGCTCCAAAATTTTCAGGCAATCTATTAACTTCTTCTTGTAACCACTTCCTGGATCTCTTTTCAGAGGTTCATAAGTGTTTAAGTCACTAAGGAGTGTCGTAACTTTCTCATGATAGTCTTTCTGGTTCAAAATCACTGTGCACCTTCCTTTGTCTGCTGGGAGAATGATGATGTTTTTGTCCTTGCTAAGAGTGGTGAGTGCGTCCCTCTCCTCTCTACTGATGTTGGAAGGTGGTGGTTTGTAAAGGATTTTGTTGACCAGTTAAGCTTTTATCTCTCAGCCTAGATAATGTTTTTTGATCAATAACAACACAACCATGTTATTGTTGATGTTTTGTTCTCATGTCAATTAGGGAGATGATCAGAGCCCTAAACCCCAGAGAACCACAGAGAAGATTCAGGCAGAGACACAGAGGTGCAGAAGTCTGCATCATCCCTAACCTCAGTGACTCCAGTGACCTGCTGGTGGAATGTGAGGGACAATATGTCAAACTGACAACCAGGTATCTGTGTGTGCAACAATCATCATCTACACCCTCAGAGTGAACATGTTCTACTGCTGGAGACACCGTCATCTTGTTTGTGTCCAAAGAAAACAGACATGTTGATGTTTCTGAAGACAAACTGTTCAGTGAAAAGGTCCTCAGTGTGTAGCAGTGAACATTACACTGACGTGTCACTGGTTTGAAACTGGTCTTTTGAACTGGAAATTATTTGTTTGTTTTTATGTAAGAAAACTGCTTGGAATAGAAAAATACCAAAGTTAAAAAATAAAACTCACAATTTGTACTGTAATGTGTAACGTCATTTTATTCTTGTTAGAATTAATAGTAATTACAAAATTGGTACAGAAAAAAGAACCGTCCAGGAACCGACACCGAAGTGAAGGAACCGACACCGGTACCAATATTTTTAGAAAGGTACCCAGCCCTGCTTACTGATGAACAGATTTTATCAGTTGGCTATGAAAAATCTTTAGTGTGTTTGATTTTGCATGCTGCTGTTTGCTGAAACCTTTATAGTCACAGAACTCCTGATTGTCATAAAGGAAAAAAGCACCGACCTTTGCTCATGTCTTGAAACACTGAATTTGTAGTGATGTTAGGTCTCAAGTTACATGACAGCACAAGTGTTTTAAAAAAACATTACAAAATGTGTTGTGAAAAAAAAGCACTGCCTTACAAAACCTGCAGCACTATCGAGGTCACTTATATAGCCTGTTTCACAACTCCAAAAACTTATGCAGATATGGCAGTTGGCCTTGAGGCACTTCTATAAATAAATTTGATTAAAAATGGAAGTGTAGGAGAGCAAACAGAATTATTTGGATATTCAAGATTCAGGCTCAATTCAAATGGAACACAGGAAATATTGATAAGCAGGAACTTTCTGACACATTAACGTGAATACGTTAGCACACTCAGTGCGTGCAGTATGAGCTCAGTGAGGTCGTGCACACCCATGCTGCAACACAACCCAGTCTGATCCTGATCACACACTCACAGGATCATCACCAGGAAGGCTGCTGGGCCTCGACACGACACACATCTCAAATTTAAGGCCAAGTACTACTTGAAGAAACGCATTTCACCCGCTGCCGCTCATGAGAGTTTTACACTAAAACCATCAGAGGTGAAATGATGGACTTGTAGCTATTTTTGGTCAAACCTTGTAAATGAGGTTATACACAAACTCAGATCTCGTGGATGTGTAGCGCTCAAGACTGTGTTTGGAATGACCTCTGCTATCTTTACCCGCTTCTTCCTTTTCGGGTCACTAGTGTCCATGTCCAGCAGTCACTGTGTGAGAGGTGGGGGACACCTGGACAGGTCTCCAGTCCATCACAGGGACACACAGAGACAACCATTCACTCTCATTCACACTTAGGGACAATTTAGTCACCAATCAGCTGAACATGCATGTTTTTAGTCTGTGGAAGGAAAGTAGAGTACTACTACCACAAAAACTTCAGGTCATTGTACGCAAATTCAACTAAGTAGACATTTTTGTGTTGCCTAAGGTCAACAGCCTATATGCCACTGACTTCCGTTCTAGTACTTCTGTATTTTTAGCCACGCTGAACACTTCCGGTTCTTCAGGCTTCGCAGTCCAGTGTTAGTAATGGCATTTTCCACTCGGTCGCTGCAGGACTTGCCGACAATGACGATGTTTATTGATGGTAAGTTAATCATTTCTGAGTTCACCAAAATGCCTCATATACATCTAACATAGCCAGTCTTACAAAAGTGTTTACTAAACATTATGTGTTAAGCCAAGGCCTTATTCGTACAGATTATTCAATTATTGTAGGGTTTGAGCAGATTTAGCTGCATCTGGATCTTTGCTACTTATTAAAAAGAAATTGTTCCCGCAGAAAAAAAAATTGCATAAATGTCAAAATGACGGCGTGTACCCAGGAAGAACGGACTGAAGGACAACAGACTCAGGATCATAAAATAAAAAGTGGTTTATTTTACAGAAATAATAAATAATAACAATAACAATCTCTTATATACACACACGTGCTGAAATTGGAGACCCCTGGAAGGGAAGGGGGGGAAGATTAGAGTCTTTATAGTTGGAGGATGAATGATAAAATGAACGACAATAAATAATGTTCTTACTGTGAGCGTCAGGTGGAGTGGCACAGGGTGGAGGTATTGTAAATCTAATTTCAGCGAGAGGTCGATGCACGGGCGGAGCGTGGAGGCCGAGGTAGGATGGGGAGCA